TGACGTGCGACGACGTGGTTCTCGACTGCAGCAGCGTCTTGACGATTTTTGCTTTAGATCTGACTACCAAGCTTTCGATTTGCACGACCTATGGTGGCCCGAGCCAAGAATCGACAGCGATTCTACACCAGGCGCGGCGGTTCGGTGAACCCGTAGTGTTTGAGATGGTTTTTCAGCGTTGGGTAGCGTCTCGGCTGTTTGACGGCAGCACACGACATGTAGCAGACGAGATTCGGCGGCTTGTGTCGTGTCTTCAACATCCAGCGGCGTCGGTAGCAGATTCAACGCATTTTCCCCTATTGCAAAACATGGACAACAACGCTTTTGTGGCGTTTTATTCTTTCCAGCGATATTCGGCATTACCCGTTGTTTTTCGACACCGGATCAACAAACCCGAAGCCTTTCGAACTCGATCTTAGAAGCTCGAACCTTTCCGGAAGTGACCCAAGCATAACCCAAGTGTTTCGGTGTGGGTTGGTAGGAACCCTTCGGTGAGCTTGGTAGCGCATTAGAACTTTGTTGTAAGTAGTTTCTTACTGGAGGGATTGGTTGTTGTGTGCTGATATGATATGGTTGTTTGCTCGTGTGCCCATGTGTGATATTTGCATGATTGCTTATCGTTGTTATCATTTAGTAAACGTCATTGTTGATAAAACTGTTGATATATCTCAGGAAAATTATGTGGTTGTGTGAATAAATTGTAACCAAGTAATCTTGGATGACTATGTTTGAATTGTGGTTATGTTTTAATTGGTTTTCATGATGAAAATTGTATACTGGTACTATAATCTGTTGTTTCGAAAGCATATTGAAGATTTATGAGAAATCAGTTGTGTTTGATGTATGCTGGGTATCTATCGATTATATTTTGGTTAAGATGTTGGTTGTGCCTCTTCTGTGAACGATGCCTGTTGGAGCTGTTGGATCATGCTGGACTATTTTAAATTGATTGGTTTTTACATATGATCATTTTGGTGTATCGCATAGTGGACTGTTATGAGATTGTTGATGCATGAGGCATGGCGTAGTAGCAAGTAGGACTCTTGTGAAAGTTTTGAGACATAACAAAGTAAGTAGACAAGGGGCGTGTGCGTGCGTTAATGTGTGTTAGTTGGTTTTGGTTTCTAATGTGTTGTTTTGTGATGTTTGATGTTGTTTTGATACGCTATTGTGTTAGGTAACTCTCGTTTGTGTTAATCTGTATACTTGGTGTAGTGTTGAATATTCGTCGGTGATAATGGTGGAATTTTGTCTTGTTAGACTGCTGAGAATTGTTGTGGAATGATGTGTGATTACCAAGGGATGCTTGTTAAAATGGAATTATTGCGATTATGTTTTCTTATGATGTGGGCGTGCTAGTATAGTTTATAAAAATGTTTCTTTATGATGTGAGCGTGCTGGTCGGAGTCATATTATTTTCTTATGAGATGTGGGGGTTATTGAAGCATATTTTCGGACCCTGTTCGCAGGCTAGGGGTTGAGGTGGAGTTGGTTATGGTAAGGGGCGTTGGATTTTTGGGGGAAGTGAATGGGTGAGTGTCAGGGCCTCGGGTATAAATGGTCGGGGGCTGATACATCACTAACTGAGTATCGAGACCTCGGGTAAAAACAGTCGAGGGTCGATACGAGCAGTCTTTTGGAAGGAATACTATTGGGGCCTTGGGTAAAAATGGTGAAGGGCCGATAGATGGTGAAGTCATCGGGGCCTTGGGTAAAAATGGTCAAGAGTCGATGCACAGTTCAAGGCCTTGGGGATAAATGGCAAGGTCGAACGCCAAGCCTCTGTAGACGAATGTCGGGCTTCGGGGATAAATGGCAAGGGCCGATACGATTCGAAGGAGTAAGCCTTGGAGGAATCAAGAGAGAGAACTAGTGTGTTAATTTGTAAGGATGAGTTTGACATGTACGGTACATGTATAGTTAAACATTTGCATAAACTGCTTCTTGTGATATGTTTTTATTTATTCAAAGCTCGAGAGTTGTGCTAAGCATGATATGTTGATTCCTTGATAAGCATGATATGTTGTTTCCTTGATAAGTATGCTGTTGTGCGTGACCCTTCAGATAAGGGCTGCTTACTGAGTACTGTGGTTGTACTCATCCCTCTTTTTCCCCTCTAGTTGCAAGTGTCGAGCTAGCTCTTGGGATGGTGATGGCGAGGAGAAGACTTGATTAGAGAGACCATTTAACTCTGCATCGTTAAGTTCCAAGTTGAATAGGATAGCTATAGTTGTTTGTTTTTGGCTTAAGTCTGTTTTTAGATTAATAAAGTGTATTGTGAAGTCCCATATTTAGAGGATGTCCTAGGATTGATAACTCGTTGTCTTGAGAACCGTAATTTTATGTAGCTACTTGACTTGTGGTGACGTAATACGTTGAGGATATTTATCAGTATAATGCATTTGTTCAAGTTGAACTTGAGTTATCTTTTGCTTTGTTGTTTTTGTGAAAGTTAGATTCGCGTAGTGGATGGTTTACGATTAGTGAAGTTTTCATTGAGAAGTTCGTAAAGTTAGTTTGTTATCAAATTATTAACTGTGAAGGATTTGAGTTTCGTTAGAACGTTGGTGGTGTTTGGGCTGTTTAGTGCAAGTTTTTGTAAGTGTTATTGATCAGAGTAGCGTAGCGGAAGCGTGGTGAGAGTTGGTCATAATTTATACGTCTAGTGGTTTAAATTCTCTAGTACGAGTAGGTCGTTTTAGGTGGCTTTTGGTAATGGTCCTCGTTGGGATGTTAAAAAAAAATCCTGGGGCATTACGGTTCATGTGACGCCCGAGAGGAAGGGTACATGAATGAACGGATACCACATCCGAATGAGAGGGATCCTGAGATTATTGAAGAATGGTCAAGAAAGGGTTAAAAAGAATTGATAGTCAGTACCTATACCAACAAGGTGCACCTTCATTTTCGATGGCTCAATCGTAAGAACTCCAAAGTTAAGCCTGCTTGGTTTGGAGCAATGTTAGGTTGGGTGACCTCCTAGTTGCTTTACTAGGAAGCATGTGAGTGAGGACAAAGCATGCTGGAATACCGGGGCAGAGAGATGCCGAAACCGGATTTCGAATCCTGGGCCTGGGGTGTTACACAAATGATCTGCTACTTGGTTTTCTGTTCCTGTTCTATCTTTTATCTCTATATCAAATTATTGTAGCAATAATATCCATCTAATTGACCTGAGCTTAGCTTCTTTTTTATCAAAGAAGTACTTTAATGCAGAGTGATCCCGCAAAGACTATAACCTTAGTCCCAATCAAATGTGAACGAAATTTATCAAATGCGAAAACAACAGCTAAAAGTTCTTTCTCGGTCATAGTGTAGTTTAACTGACTATTATTCAAGGTCTTACTTGTATACTAAACAAGATGAAGAACTTAACATTTTCGTTGACCCAACATTGCACCTACAGCAAAATCACTTGCATCATGCAGTAGTTCAAATGACAAGTTCCAATATGGTTCAATTATGATTGGTGTTGAGCTAAGTGCATCTTTAAGTGTCTCAAAAGCTTCCAAACAATTTTCATCGAAAACAAAGGGTCGATCCACTTCCAACAACTGACACAAAGGTTTAGAAATTTTCGCAAAATCTTTTATAAAACGGCGGTAGAAACCCGCGTGTCCTAAGAAACTTCTAACACCTTTTACAGTAGTATGAGGGGGTAGTTTGGCAATCAAGTCTATCTTGGCCCTATCGACCTCAATTCCTTTTCTTGAAATTCTGTGACCTAAGACTATACCTTCACGTACCATAAAATGGCACTTCTACAATAAAGAACAAGGTTAGTCTCTTCACACCTTTTTAACACAGCTCTAAATTCTCTAAACAAACTTCAAACGACTCACCAAACAAAGAAAAATCAGAAGGGATGTGAACCTCGGAGCRGAAGCGGACCGTTGTTCGTGAAATTTGGGAAACAAAATCAAAAAATTCAAAATGAAAATGCAGGGGAAAACTTTACCTTTGAAGAACGTTTCTTCAACGTTTTCCACCCGAACACTACCATCGTGTCTTCCTCGCTATCCTCTTGGGTCTCGAGATTGTGCTTGTGGGAGCACCTCGTTTGGAATGAAAGAGAGTATTGAGAGAGCTTGAGAGAGATTCAAATGGGAGTTCTTTCTTTTTCGTTCTGTAAAAATTGCAGAACCTTTCTACAACCCAATTGACAAAGAAAAAAAGAATGACGTGGGGTAACTCCCCACGTCATACCAA